AATAGAGTTGAATTTTCTTTTTTAAACAAAATAAACTAATTTTTTTTGAGTGATGATGGAAATTCACGGTCATAAGAGTGTGCATTTAATAAATCTCAATCAATGAGGTAAACCAACAGATATTGTCCATGGCTGCCCGTTGAGAGTCGAACTTGTAATCTTGTGATTATAAAGTCAATAGCTTAACCAACAACTTGATCAAACAACTTTTTTTCTTTAACAAAAAAATTAATTTTTTTTGAATGACAATAGAAATTCACAGCTACCACCCAAGAACAACAATAAGGTAAATCAGCCTAAATTGTTCATAGTTAACCAACTCAAATCAAGGAAGTCAATATGCTGCTCCTGTTGAGAATCAAACTTTTAGCCACAAACTAACTTAGTTAGGGCTAATTTGGATACATAAAATAATCAGTCGTTATATCGTGCACCGCACGTCAAAACGGTGTCGTTTCTGCAGTTATAACGGAGTGACACTACAGTGTGTCTAAACCGACACTATCTCACGTATTATTTTTATATTATCAAATGAAACTGCAGTTATATCAATGATACTGTAGTTGTGGTGAAATGAAACTACAGTATATATAAAATGAAAGTGAATAATATTTCACATATTTGAGTGTATATTGTACAATGAAGCTGTAATTATATTGAAATGATCATGTAGTTGTTTTTTAATGAAACTATAGTGTATATAAAATAAAGGGAAAATTGTAAAAAATGCCCCTCTATAATATGCCAATTATCAATGTCACCCCTGAATTATGAGTGGTGTAAATGTTGCCCCTCAATTATCAAAATGGTGCACATATAGCCCCTCCCGTAACGGACTTGTGATTCTCCACCGCTGTCCATCGCTGGTACTTTGAATCGAGGGAGGAAAAAACAACTAAATTACATATTTACTCCGACTTAACGGTGTCGTACACTAACGGGGAACCACATGTCCGTTACGGGAGGGGCTATATGTGCACCGTTTTGATAATTGAGGGACAACATTTACACCACTCATAATTCAGGGGTGATATTGATAATTGACATATTATAGAGGGGTATTTTTTACAATTTTCTCTAAAATAAAATTAAATAACATTTTTACATATTTGAGTGTATAAATATTGAATGAAACTGTAGTTATATCGAAATGAAACTGCAGTGTATACAAACTGAAGAACAGAGTTATTTTTTGCGAAGATTCTGTTTCTTTTCATTAAATAAAACTACGTCGTTTTGATGCGCGGTGCATGATCGATCATGCATCGCGGTGCACGATATAATTTGCGTAAAATATAGGCAAAAACATTTGTGAGACCGTCTCACGAGTCTCAATCCGTGAGACGGGTGGAATCTTTGTTTAATAAGGTCACAGATCCGATCCATTAATTAAAGATTTGATCTATTAATCAAATATCGAACCTGTCTTATAGATTGAGACTCGTGAAACGATCTCACACAAGTGTTACCCAACATAATAAAATATGTTTTGACTCAATTCTTAATCCCTGTGCATGTTGATTTTTTTGTTATTTAGTTTTATAAAAAAATTCCAAATTCTTCAAACTAGTTTCTCCCACCCATTAGTCCACCCCTCAAATCTCTCTCTCCCACTCCCTTCTTTTTCTCTTCAATCACCCATTCCTTCCCTTTGTGTTTTAGTCTGTAGAACCAAAAGAAAAAAAAAAAAAAAGCCCCCCACAAAGCAAAAAACCACCACCGAATTCCACCAACAACAACCGTTAACCAGTCCCTCCAAGAAACCAGAAGATTCCCACAAATAAAGCACCCAAAAGTTTCATACACCCCCCTCCAGCCCCCATCCTTGGTTCCATTTCCTCATCTCCATCCATGGAAATCACAAGAAAAAGATAGGATTTTTCTTTCTTTCTTTTACCTATCCCCCTTGCCCTAGTTGTTTGCCCAGAAATTTCAGGGATTGAGAGAAAGGGCAGAAGTGGGTGTCACCCAAATCTCCAAGATTGTGAATAATTGTTATATATATAATGTCCCAGATGAAGCACATTGACAGCATTCCATCAACCCCTGGGAAGTTCAAGTACAATAGGTCTAGGCTCCATTCTTCCGTTGCCAAGCTCACTTTCTGGTCCTTTGTTTTTGTGGGGTTGATCTATTTTTTCTTCTTCAGATCACCGTCTTCTTATTCTTCTTCTTCTTCTTCAGATCTCTCTAGGAGGTCTCTGAGGACCAGCTCCTACAGCGGCCCAGCCTGGGAGGAGAGGGTTAGGTCCTCCGCAAAGGTTAGGTCAAGTAATGGCATCTGTGTTTTGCTTACTGGGGCTGCTGGCTTCGTTGGCACCCACGTCTCCGCTGCCCTCAGGAGACGCGGCGATGGCGTCTTGGGCATTGATAATTTCAACGATTACTATGACCCTTCATTGAAAAGAGCCCGGCAAGCCCTTCTAGAGCGCACAGGGGTGTACATTGTGGAAGCCGACATTAACGATGTGGAGCTTTTGAGGAAGCTTTTCGACATTGTTCAGTTCACCCACGTTATGCATTTGGCCGCTCAAGCTGGGGTGCGATATGCTATGGAAAATCCGGGCTCCTATGTTCATAGCAACATTGCAGGATTTGTTAGTCTTCTTGAGGTTTGCAAGGGGGTTAATCCCCAGCCGGCTATAGTCTGGGCATCTTCTAGTTCTGTTTATGGGTTAAACACTAAGGTCCCATTCTCAGAGGAGGATAGGACAGACCAGCCTGCTAGTCTCTATGCTGCCACTAAGAAAGCCGGGGAGGAAATTGCCCATACTTATAACCATATCTATGGCCTTTCCTTGACTGGATTAAGGTTTTTCACTGTTTATGGACCCTGGGGGAGACCCGACATGGCTTACTTCTTTTTCACTAAGGATATCTTGAAAGGGAAGGCGATTCCCATATTCGAGGCCCCGGATCATGGAACTGTTGCCAGGGATTTCACCTACATTGATGACATAGTGAAGGGGTGTTTGGGGGCTTTGGATACTGCTGAGAAGAGTACTGGTAGTGGTGGCAAGAAGAAGGGGCCTGCTCAGTTGCGGGTGTTTAATCTCGGGAATAAGTCCCCCGTGCCCGTTTCTGATCTTGTCAGCATTCTTGAGAGGCTGCTAAAGGTGAAGGCCAAGAGGAAAATAATGAAGCTTCCAAGAAACGGGGATGTGCAGTATACACACGCGAATATCAGCTATGCACAGAGGGAGTTCGGGTATGAGCCTACTACCAATCTGCAGACAGGTTTAAAGAAATTCGTTCGATGGTACCTTACTTACTATGCCGATGGAAAGAAGAGCGACCAGTGATACATACATATATACATACATACATACATACATTCATACCATTCTTCGTTGATTGTGTGTATGTGGCAGGACAAGATTCAATTTTTGCTCATTTAATTGTCATTCTTATTCTTGTTTTTAAGCCTATTCCATTTCCATTTCCATTTCATTGCTCCTATATCTCGTTTTTCGTTTTATCTTAATCGTGCCTGCCATAGAAGGAGTGCTTCAATTCTCACCATGAAGAAACTTATGTTTGCTTGGGGGGGCATCTCATCTGTTTTAGTACTCTGTGAGTGTAAGTGTTGTAGCTTAATTCATTGTACAATTTTATTTTATTTTTAACTCCTTAAACATGTGTAATCATTGTCAAACTCAAATAAAGAGGCATATTATATAGTACAATAATTGTTGCCTTTCACATGAATTGTTTTGATTGCTATTCTTAGCATGGAGTGCATCTTTTGTTCTTATGCTTGTAATCCACCTTTTCTTGCCTTTCACATGAATTGTTTTGATTGCTATTCTTAGCATGGAGTGCATCTTTTGTTCTTATGCTTGTAATCCACCTTTTCTGTACCATGATGTTTGTTATTCCATCTTATTATTGCCAAAACTACTCTTTTTTTTTTTTTTTATCTTTCTGATATTTCAACCTATCTGGTCAATCTCAGTAGATGTGCAAGAATTTATGGATTTGGTAACCGAAGATTACTTTGATTTCCTAATGTTTCTGCTAAAGTTGATTGTTTTGGAATGAATGTGACTATTTTAGGAGAGAATCTTAGATGGAATTTGATCCGATGTGTAACTGAAGTTTGCAGAAACAGAAAGGAGTATATGCATATCATTTTTTTTGTTTGTGCCTATAATACTTCTTTTTCTTTTTGTAAGTATTTATTAAACTTTAGTTTTTGGTAGAATGTAAAAATAAATATCAAGAGATGGAGAAAATATGATTTGTATATGGCTGAAATTAAGACTGGCTTCTGAAAAATGTCCTGTTGTTTTTAAGTTTTGGTTTTTTCTCCAGGATATTGTGTAGTATTGTGACTTCCCAATTCAGTTTTGTGATTATATGGATCTGTGTATCATATCACCTTGATTGATTAGCTGCTTCCCTGAGACAGGGTTTTTGAGATTTGATGAATGTTTACTTTTTAAAAAAAAATAATAATAATAATTTTGTGGGGGAGGTGACGAGGAAAACCCGCACCTTGATTGAGTAACTTCCCTAAGATAGGGTTTCTGAGACTTGACGAATGTTTACTTTTTTTTTTTTTTTTTTTTGGGTGGGGTAGGTGACGAAGAAAATCCACACCTTGATTGAGTAGCTTCCTTAAGATAGGGTTTTTGAGACTTGATGAATGTTTACTATTTTCATTTTTTGTGAAAGTGTCGAGAAAAACTCACAGTCACTACCTGAAGATATGCACGGGGTAAATCTCGTGCACGGAGTAAATCTCGCCTTGTGACCTTAGCCAACAAATGACAATAAAGAAGTAAACCAACCTAAGTTGTCTATAACTGACCAACTCAAACCAAGAAAGTTAAGATTTGAACTCGTGACTTTGTGATTACAAGTTTGTATCCTTAGTCATCTTGGTTAGGATTATACCGATGAATGTTTATTCTGATTGTTGATTACCCATAGCTCAGTTTTTACATTATGTAGTTAATCCTTTGTTGTCTTGAAAATGCCAGTTACCAAACTCAACATTTCTTCTATATTGTTTATGTAATTGGTCTAAAGCAGTATACAAGGCAGGCTTTTAAAGTATGACAAACATCATGGTTCAAAACATATGTCAAAGACCTTTTACTATAGTTGTCTAAACTTGTGACTCTTGATTGAATGTCTCAACTTCAATAAACAGTAAAAGATAAAAATTCAAAAAAAAAATGGAGGAATCCAAGGTTAATCAACTGGAAATGAGATGGATTTTCTATCTGGCCATGATTCAATTTTCTTGAAGTACTTCACTGGCACTACACCATCAAAACCCTCTGTCAATATGACCTTATTATCAGAGATGTAAAGCTTCATTCCTTCTGAAGTAAAAAAAACGAGAGAAATCATAACAAGGCATTAGATTCGTAGGATTGCCAAGTGATCCAACCTTAATTGCGTAGTTTGTAGTAATACAAAATTACCTTCTAGAGCTTTTTTGACATCCAGAAAGATTAGGATATTGACATCTCGCCTCATTCCTGCAAGAATAAGAAACATGGCTCTCACCATTGAGAATATAGTCACACCTAATTTAACACCATTAAGGTAGCTGCCCCATAGAAGTCAAGAAGGATGACACTTGAGAAAAGTACATACTAGAAAACATTAGGAAACAAGTGTAAATAGGTGGGTGGTCACAATTTAAGAATTGCTAAGGCAAACTTCAAATCAAGGCTTCTTATAAGTTAAAACCTTTCACCAAGTACTGTCTTCTTTACTACAAAATTTTCAGCCTGTATCATGAACATGATTTTGTTTTTAAACACTCATGAGTCTTTACAAGTTAATATATGTTCTATACTTTTTCTCAATCTTTTTCGGCCCAAAGAATCAATGCCCCCATCACCTGTATCATGAACATGATTTATAACCTTAAAGTTTTAAAGTTTTAAAGATCCTATCATCTTACCACTAATTACTTCACCATCTGTTGGTAAGCCACGTGAGAAGTGAACATGTAACCTTTTCATGCGTTTGAGGCCTTGCTCCAAAATCAGTTCCAAATTCTTCTTGTAGGTCCCATGGACACACACTGCACCATACACACAAACAACCATAATAAAAATGGACTACTATACAGCATAAGAGAGTGAAGCTTCCTAAATCCTAGCACATTGCAAACATATCTTTACCTGGAACTTCTTCAGCTGAAAGGATTGGTTTCAACAAGCTTTCAGTTTCAACCGTCTATTACATGTCATTCCAGCAGAGAAGGGTAACTCAATCTTGCATAAAACATTAATTCGAATGCACACCAGAGGGAATAAAAATTTAAAATTGCATATACCCATAATTACTGACACCACCATCATTTTTATATATTCATTGGAGTAAAATAGATACTGTGAACTTATGAAGTAGAATGGGAATGTAATGGCAAACAACAATTTCCCAACATGTTGAGAACTGTGGTAAAAGTTTTAAACATTGCCAATGTGTTAGCAGTATCCAACAATACCTTTAAGGCTTTAATTGTTTTTAATTGTTGACCATTTTCTGGTAGAGTGAATAGGTCCAACAGAATGAAGACAGCTTGTTCTATCAGAAACTACTATATACATAATACTAACTCTTTTGACAGATTGATTACCGCAACTGTGTGCCCTTGGTTTGCACGTACCCAAAGCTCTCCGTTTTCCTCCAACAAGCTAAACCTTTGCTTGTTGTCCTTCCTGACTGCCTAAAACATACAAAGAGCAAAAAGAAGTTTCAATTATTTTGCAAAAATTAAAGCCAAAACCAACAAGGCTCTGAACAAAATATTTCATAGTAAATGCGACAAAGGAGAAAAAAAAAAAAGTGCAATTATGAAACTTTTTGTGCTAGAATTGCATTAGTGTTATATTTTCAATAAAACTGTCAACTACTTAGTCACATATCATTGCCAGTAAATGAAAAAGAATAGAATTTTTCAAAATGTAAAAATGGATTAGAGTCCGTGATAGAAGTTATTCACACACACACACACACACACACACACACACACAAAAACCAAGCAAATTAATCTTTGCATATCACTCCATGGGTTTTATACAAAAACAATAGACAACAATAAATGGAGAAACTGATTCTAGAACTAACCTCTTTGATATCGTCAACTGTGTGCAACCTCAATGGTATATTGGCAAACGTTTTTAAATCTAGTTTCAATAGATCTTGGACCTTGACAAATCCATCACTCCTCATATTTAAATTTAGCTCGAAAGTCATATGACGCAAAATTCGTGTTCTGAGATAATTGCCAACAAACAAACAAATTAAGATGTTGGCAACCTGCTTGTGTTGATTAGCAAGTACTTAGGTGCTTAAGTGCAAAGAAAAGAGAATGTGTTCAAACATAGTGGTCCTTTACAGATTATCCACTTCCAATCTTTGGAATCCAAGCAAATACAACCTTGACAAAGATTATGAATGTAAAGCATTTTAGACAGAACCTGAGAAATTTCAATGCTGGTATACAAGCAAAGAGTATAATTTTTTAATCTTTCACCTCCCTTCCCCTTGGAAAATGTGGAATACAACTTCTAACTTGTTCCATACCCTAATCCCCTTTAGAAAAGTTTCATGCCAAACAATCTAAAATTGCTTGAGTTAGATCCAGACTAAATCTTTTATGTTCTTTTTGGTTCATTTTTTAAAAGCTAATTTCCACTGACTTCTCATTGAAGACAATGACCAGTTCCAGTGGACAGTTTTAAGAGTAAATCAGTCCTACTATCATTATCATCAGCACTTCAAATACTTTTTCGAAGATATACATAGGAGTTTTTCGCACTTTTGGTCTCACGAGTATTGTGACACTAACAATGTTGATCTACAACTTTCAAAACTTGCATAATTGGTGCACGAGTATCAATTTCTTAGCACAAATGGTCCTTCCGGTGAAATCTTAGGACAATTTTTCACCAGAAAAATTCACCTTTATAGGGGCGAAAAGTTGTGGATCAACATTATTAGTGCAAAAAACTACTAATATGCTTATATACATAGCATGCAAAAGGTAAGAATAGAGCATACAATAATCGACCAAGAGCATCAATTTTATCTTTTCCAGAGCCACCACCTCCACCTCTACCTCTCGACCTTTCCCTCTTATCCTTTGTATCCAATCCTCTTCCTCTACCACCGCTGCTGTAAATTCAAATAATATAATAAAAAACAGAAAATGCATGCGTTTACATAAAATTGTGATTGAAGTTACCTGCGATTTGAATGTGCAAAAGCAGAGAAAGAAGAAGAGGGTGAATTTTTGTATGAATCCATTGAAGTTAATGCACGAAAGCCAGATAGCAGAGAGGATGGTGTAGAGGAAGCGCAAGGAAATTGGGGAAGAGCAACGAGGCAGCTTCGAAGAATTCGAAATCCAGTGTTGTTCAGTAAAGAAGCGGCCAACATAAGGGGGAAGCTGAGGATGCTGTGTTATGGCGGGTAGGGTTGGGCGGTGAGAAATTCACCGTAAAGCAATACAATAGAAGAAGAACCGGAATTACAGAGCTTTGCCCATCGGAGTTTTAAGGCGTTTATTTCCAGTATAGCCCTCGGGTTTGGTCTAAATTATGTTCTAAACTATATATAGGCCTGTGGATCCTGTGAGGGAGAGAAATAAGAAATAAGAAATTAAGAACTAATCCTAATTTTACATTTGTAAAAATTTGGCAGTTATTATTAGATTTTAACAACAACAACAAAAAAAAAATGCAATGGTATTTTTATAATTATCATCAATTTCACTTTGCAAACTTCAATATTTACAGAGTGTTTGGTTGGAGAGTGGGAATTAAGTGGGAAAGGAATTGCAATTCCATGGGAAATAAATTACTGTGAATAAAGTGGGAATTTAAATTCCAGTGTTTGGTTTACAGGAATAGAATTACTGGGAATTTCAATTCCAATGTTTGGTATACATGGGAATTGAAAGGGAATAAGTAGTATAAAGTAAAAAATGTTCATTGTTATTGTTAGGCTTAATTTTAGGTTAAAAAATGAAGGGGTAATTTTGACTCATCACTATCTTTTTTTCTTCCTAAAATTCCAGGAATTAAAATTGCAGGAGGACATGGGATTTTAATTCCATGTTTGGGAATTTTGTAGCCTTTGGAATTAAGTGGAAGCAAATTTAAATTTCCTTCAACCAAACACCATATTAGGGAGCGCTTGGTTCACGAAACCTTTGATTATATATATGTGTGTGTGTGTGTGTGTGTGTTTATTTATTTATTTATATGTATGAATGTATATCAATGCTTAAATATTAAAAAGAATTAAATATATAAATATACACACATGTATATGATTATATAACCATATTATTATTATTATTATTATTATTATTATTATTATTATTATTATTATTATTTAACAAGGGCAAAGTTGGAATAATTCAAGGTAATGTAAGACTACTTAAAAAAACGGGAGTAATCACATTACCTTGAAACATTACCGCCACATCAGCTTTCAGGTAATATAACATTACTAGGTAATCTCATAACTTGAACCAAACAAGGTAATATAACATTATCAGACTCAGATTACCTAGGTAATCTAAGATGACTTGAACCAGACGCCCCCTTAATGCAATCTTTAACAACTAAATATGCAAACCTGGTAATTCTATAAAATTAATGAAAAAGTTAAATTTTAAATCTAAACTGTAAATGTTAGACCTTAAGCAGTAAAAAGTTAACCACTGGACCAATATAAAACCAAAAACTCAGTCATAAAAACTCTAAAATCGAAACCCTAATTGCAATGTACTTTCACATTTTTGCAAGTGCAAACTTGTAATACTAAATATGCAAAATGTTAACACTAAATGTGCAAAACGTTAATACTAAATAACAGATTTTAGTGTTCACGTTTGCATAGTAAAATTGGTGATAATTACGAAATTGTCATCACATTTTTTTTTTTAAATCTGATCTAGAACGTTCAATTTTTCTAGATGTAAGGTTGTGATTAGTTCTTAGTTTTCTCCTACAGACTTGTTCTGATCCTGTGTGTGTGTGTGTGTGTGTATATATATATATATATATATATATATATATATATATATATATATATATATATATATATATATATATATATATATATATATATATATATATATATATATATATATATATATATATATATGTCAAGCACCTTGTGCTACGTTAGCACATTTGTGGCTCTTCTTGAGGGAATGTCATAAGATTAAGTCCCCAGTGGTGAGGTATTGACTCATTGGGCTACAACTGATAGAGAAAGCATATTGAACAGATACTACCTTATAATAGAGTTGATAGTCAATCGTTATGTTGTGCATCCGTATGCACCATGCATGGTGTATACGGATGCCAAAATGACGGCGTTTTATTAAAAAACGCGTGTCTTCCCTTTAAAAAAAATTCAGGTTCGATTCCCAGCAACAACATTATATTGTTCATTCATTCTGGAATTTTAGTTCATAGATTATGGAATTATAATTCATTGATTATGGAATTATAGTTCATCGATTATGGAATTGTAGTTCATCGATTCTGAAATTTTAGTTTATAGATTATGGAATTTTAGTTCATTCATTCTGGAATTTTTAGTTCATAGATTAGATTATGGAATTATAGTTCATCGATTATGGAATTTTAGTTCATATGTTGTTGTTGGGAATCGAACCTGATTTTTTTTTTTTAAGGGGAGACGCGCGTTTTTGCATCCGTATGCACCATGCGGTGCATACGGATGCACAGCATAATTTGCCGTTGATAGTACTCAACAAAAAAAAAAAAAACTATATATATATATATATATATATATATATATATATATATATATATATATATATATATATATATATATATATATATATATATATATATATATATATATATATATATATATATGTTTATTTATTTATTTATTTATTTAGATCGAAATGAAGGGGATACCCGATTACAATTCAAGTTGGCTAACTATTTTCCGCCAGATCAGGATAGAGGCTAAATCGTTCTCAAAAAAGGTAAGAACAAAATATGGGGGGGGGGGGGGGGTATGGTGACCATATTCTCGAGCTTCTGGGGGCAATTTTATGTTGCTTTAGCAGCCATATGATCTGCTACCGTATTCTGTTACCTCATTATGTGGTCCAATCGCCAACCATCGAAGAAGCTGAGTTCCGCTTTGCATGACTGTACCATCTCGTCTGCTTGGCTGTTGAGAGGTCTCCCTTTTGAGACTGCATTTACTACATCCTTAGAATCAACTTCAAATATTGCTCGTTTGAAGCCAAGACGTCTGGCCATCTGAATTCCTCTGAGCAGACCGCAAAGTTCTGCCTTATCTACACTTGAAGGACCGAGGCCATAGGTGAAACCTGCAATCCAAGCGCGACATCAGTAGTTAAGCCCCTTTTGGCCCTGTTAAGGTTAGACATGATTCTATCATGTCTAGCCAACCATAGGAAGCAGCAAATGCGATTTGGAACTTTTAATTTAATTTTCAAATACTATTCCAAATACTGGCTGATGGTTCGTTATCAAAACCATCTACTATTTCATAAGATTTTTTGATAGAGAAGTGGTTAAGTGCCCCTCTGCTCCATGTTATACCGTCCTCCTCTTCAGTCCCCACGTGAACAACGAAGGCTTTCAACTGGTTGATGGCAGAATCAGAGAGCAACCCACCAAGCTTATTCCATTTCCAACCAGAAATCTGGTCCCAATAATCATGTACTGATGCAAAAATATCGGACGATTGAATCATTCAGATAGCATCCTCCTTAAGAGGACGATTACCAATCCACCAATCGAGCCATAACAAAGTAGCTACACCATTTTTTACCACCTTTCTTGTTCCTTTGGAAAGAATAGAAGTGGTATTGGATATACCTTTCCAAACTGGTGACATATTTGCCTTTGGCTTCCAAATTGTTATGTCTTTCACCTTCGGGGCATACTTAGCCTTAATAACACAGGACCACAAGAAATTGTCATCATTCAGGAATCTCCAACCTCACTCCCTTCTCTCCATTGGAGCTCTCAATGGAGAGAGGTCAACATGCACACCTCTACAACATAGACATACAAGTCATTCAAGCATCAAGTCTCATCATTCATTCAAAGCATAAAAGCACAATCTAATCCAATCTCAATCCAAATCCTAGAATTCTAACAATTCATAATCATCAATAGATCACAACACACAAATTAGATATGAAATATGAACAAAGAGAAGAAATGTTACCCAAGTCTTCAATCTTTAGTGTTGTAATCCATGAAGCAATGTAGATCAATGAATCTTCAAGCTAGAACAATGGAAATCTATTCTAATTGATGAAATGGAAATCTAATCTAACCCTAATCTAATCTAACAGAGCTAAAATGAAAGTGTAGTGAAAGAGCTAAAAGAGAGATCCCCTAAAAGTCATTTACAAGCCTTTAAATAGGCTGAAAATCTGGAATTTCCGCGCTGGTTTCACAACTAATTCCACAACGTTCGTTGTGGAATTCATTGTACTTTCTGTTTCCCGACAACGCATTTCACAACGAACATTGTGACTTGCGTTGTGCTCTTCTGCTAGGATTTTGCCTTTCTTGCCTTCACCAAAGTTGTAGCCCTTGAAGTTGTCTTTCCATGGCCACTTGAATCACCTTATTTAGACACTCCTAGCTCGAGATACACAACACTAAAGAGTATTTTTGTACCTGTACATGTTTAGAGTTACATATAAATATGATACTTGTAACCCTAGCGTGACGTTCAGTTCATACAATGATGCAATACATTGAGAATGGAATATCATTGTAACACCCCTGATTTTCAAGACATTTAAAACTTAATAATAAAGGTAACATCTCATTAAATCCCAAAGCGTAACATAAGTGTACGGGGTGCTATGCCACACCTGGGCTGGAGAACCCATGTGCACAGGCTGTCTAACTACCATCCTCCGAAATATAAATGCATAACATGGCACGCAGGCCGAAGGGGAAACTATACTACTTCTACGCTCCAGTTCTAGCGCGCTCCAGTGCTCTAATCCTCTGTGCCTGAAAGCCAAATATATCTGTTCAGCGAGAGATGCTGGTAACCCACTCCAACGCGTTGAAATACAATACATATAGAGATATATATAGATATACGAAAACCATTTTGAGCATGAAGATATATCCTACGAACTCTAGCTTTAAAACCGGGAACGACTCGACAGATAAGGCCAGACACAAGCAACAGTTATAACGAGCATATGCAGTTTACAACAGATAAGGCAGACAAGGCAGAGCATAAACAATGATCATAACCCGACAGGAACAATCCCCAATATAAATCCCATAGTCACATCCCCCAAGACACTCGTAATCACAACTCGTCCATGTCACAACACATAACACAATTTGTTGGCGCCACAGGACCAATCGCATGCCCATACATGAGGGCCAGCGCATATAGCTCTGACACGGCCCCGCAGCACCCTGCCCCGTATCGCAACACGGAGGGGTCGATCGAAACCGACCGATGAACCGCAGCTCATAAGAATGTGTAATCTGACTGTAGCCAGGAA